CCTGTGTCAACAAGGACACGCTGCACCTCACAATTGTTGATCGTGACAGAAGTGACTAGAGGATCATTGTGAGGTGTGACAACTGTTTCAAGATCAGCAGATGTGAAAGTGATGGGTTGATTCTTCCACTCAGCATCGTTAAATTTTCGCTTCTAAGCTCTGTTTTGGTGCTTAACCTCTCTGACATACAACTTTCGCTGCTTAGAGCTTAGTCCACCAGCTTCCAGACCTCCCGTAATCATGTGTATGACTCTAGCTGGTGGTGGGAGTGGGGGTGGGGCCTGCTGATATCCCACACCTTGCCTGTTTGGGGGATTGCGGACTCCTTGATGCTGTGTCCCTTGTTCCTTGACAAACCGTGGTTGTTCAACTCTCTGAATGTACTCGTTCAACATTCCTTTCTGCGCCAGACTTTCCAGCTCGGACCTCAGACTATTGCATTGTTCTGTTGTATGGCCGTGATCTTGATGAAAATCACAATACCTGGTATGGTCTCTGGTAACAGCAGCAGTTCTCATTGGACCCGGACGCCTTAAGTCCATCTTATTCTTAATCTGCATAAAGATTTGTGACATCGGTAAATTAAAAGGAGTCCAATTGACTTGAGGTTTACCTGCAGGTTGTTGCGGAGATGCGGAGTTCGGCTTTCCGAATCTTAGGGTGGAAGTCGACATCGGACCTCGGTTCTGTGTTGTCTTCATCCGTTTCCTGTTCGGATTCTCATCTCTCCAGTCCGGGTGTTGATTCTTAATAGGAGTTATGTTCTGCAACAGGGCATATTCCTCAACAGTTATGAATTTCAACGATCTATCATTTACCTCGCTGAAGGTGTTGGCAGGATGTTTGAGCAGACTATCTCTGAATCTTTCATGGCTAAGACCTGAGATCACAGCTGTAATTCCCACAACTTGGTCGAAAGAGTTAACCTCCAGCACTGCATCATTGAATCTGCTCATAAAATTCTTCAAAGACTCTCCGTCCCTCTGCTTAACTCGCATCAGCTTAGAAGTGGTTTTCCTGATCAACCTTCTACTGAAAAACTTTGTGGCAAAAGCGGATGTCAGTTCTGTGTAAGAGTTGATTGACCTCGGAGGTAGACTGTAATACCAGGTTCGAGCATTACCTCGGAGGGTAGAGGGAAAGATTTTGCACATCAACGCATCAGAGGCGTTCTGAACCTGCATACAAAAGTAGAAAGCATGTAGATGATCATCGGGGTCCTTCGTCCCATCATAAGTTTCAAGCTGTGGTATTCTGAAGCCAGCGGGATAGGGTTCCACTATAATACTGGTGTTGAGAGGGTGGGGTACGGAGTCAGCAGCAGGGTGTGAAGGTGGGACACCTCGTTGTTCAACCACTAGCTTTTTTAGGCTATCTAGACGTCGAGTGACATCATCATGAGGGGGTTGCTGAACTGGTGCGATGTGAGATTGGCCCTGAGATTCACTATCAGCAGGATCATGCTGAACTGGTTCGGGGTTTTGTGGTGGGGCTGGGGGCTGCGGAGCAGGATTGAGTAGGTTGATGAGTGGATCACCAGGATTATTCCGGGCTAATAGCTGAGCCAGCACTAGCTGAAAAACACCAAACTGCTGTTGCATGGCAACGAGCTGAGTTGCAACTACGTCTTGGTTAGCAGTAGAGGCTGAGTTGCTAGCCGAATTGTGTGGCTGATTTTCATCTTCTCCTTCTACATGATCAACAGGAGGGAACGCATTTGGGATTGGGGGTGGGGGATGAGGCGGAAGGTTGCTAGGGACCTAACCTCATCTAAGAGGCTGAGACGAGTTTCCACCTCGGGCTGACCTAGTTTTAACCATGATAAGAGCAACAAGGGAGCCTTTAGTTTAGTTTCCCACAGACGGTGCCAAAATGTAACTACACCAAGCCAGAAGTCCTTCTTCAGTCCGTATCTGCACTCTGGATTGACCTGTAAAGCCCCGAGGTGGATCCTCGGGGTAGACACTCCGATGCTTAAGTCAGCAATAATCGGGGCTACCTTTAGAGTGAAGAAACAAGGAGCTTAGGGTTGGTTTCCATTACCTTTTTGACGTGACCCTTGAGGGGTATTTATATGTTCCAATGAAGAACCCACGTAGCATGCTAAGACATTCGGGATCTGGTGTGTATCT